TTGCAAGTCTAGAACCTATACAACAGGCCATTAATTCTAAGCGAGGAATGCTTAAAGATTTCAAAGGCGATACTCTAGACTTCGCCCGTACGAGATTTATTTTTACTTCAGAATTAAATATTGATCGAACAAAGACGCACGCTGCATACGCCCCCTTGCAAGCATCCACAAATACATGTAGTTCAGACGTGTCATTGATAAACAAGTATCGAGGCAAAGTAACATCTTTCAAAACATTAAGTTCTTTAAACCAGTTCAAAAATATATTTACATCATTCGGAGACAATTCATCATCCCATGCAATTTTCACTTTCCACAATTTTTGCAACAACAGTTTTGGAAGCAATGTAGTTGGCGTTAATAAACCAATAGGATCAAAAATTGTCTGCACAATTGCCAAAATTGTCCTCTTTGTGATTTTTGTATCACAGGTCAATGTATCTGTGTCTGTGCAGCACCTCAGCGTATCATTATCCAAATTCCAAATTACCCCCAAAACGGAAGTATCCCCTGAATGTTTGTCAACATTTGTACCAGCCACATTGCTTTCAAAACCGCGCAAGTTAAAACATCCATTTGACATGATTAATTTGGAATGTTCAATAAACGTAAACTGTTCATCAATACTAAAAACACTAGATAAACAATTATCCACATAAAATGACGATTTCAATTTTTGAGCAACTTCACTATATTGACGTGGACAGTTTTCTAATAGATGCATTATAGATGCGTTCAACAAGTAGGGGCTCGAAGAAACTCCAAACACAACTCTGCAATGCCTATAAATTAATTGCTCTTCATTGCATGGGAAAAAAAATCTGAGAAAATCTCTATCTTTAGATGCGACGGATAACATTAAAAAAGCCTTTTCAATATCGGCACTAATACCAATCGGATACATTCTAAAACGATCTATAATATCAGGTATTAATTCAATAAGATTTATTCCTTTACACAAACATTCGTTCAAAGAGAGTTCTCCCTTTCTCAGATGCAGAAGCGTCAAAAACAGGACGAATTTTCGTGGTTTCACTTCCTAATTTGATTACAGGCCTATGCGGCAAATAATGACATTCATTATTCAATTCGTTTTCTGGTACGCGTTCAATAATATTCAACCTTTCCCATTCCTTGAACACATTTTGATAATCATCGAAAAATTTACTACATCTGAGTTTATAGATCATCTTTTGATACCTTTTCCAGGATAATTCTTTATTATCGGTTAAATGTGTCGTATCACATTTCCACGGAAGTTCTACTTCATATCTTCCATCTGGAAGAATTTTCATTTTGTTCTCAAATTCAGATAAATTAAAACTTTCATTCATTTTAACAGTTTCGTTTGGAGCGCATATTCCTATTTTTTCAAGTTCCCATAACTCATTCAGAGGAATTCTCCTGACATGCATTGAAAATGTTTTCAAAATATTATCCTTTTCACCCGAATTTCGTTTTGCCAAATACCGTCCACCCAAGTTTCGTTTCGACAGCCGTTACCCCGGACTGTAATTCAATAGAATTTCCCGTCAATAATTTTCCTGTAACATCTGCTCCGATTAAAAGGTTAATTTCAATTTCCTTTCGCAATGGATCAGAAAATTCGATTTCTTTTTCTTTTAATTCATTCAAAATCTCTTTATCTTTAACCTTAGGAATAAAACCGCAAATCTTTTTTTCCGATAATGCCTCAAAACTACATGCGAATGTTCCTTTTAAATTGCTGACCTCGACCGAAAACACTTCATGTTGTTTAGGTTTCGTTTCGTCCCCCCCCCCAAACAGTGCATGTATAACTGTCTCCTCCCGAAGTGGAGATGCTTTAAGCTGACTCATCATATTTTCACTAACGTAGCTACTTTGGCTTCCGCTATCAATTATGCAGCGAATAATTTTCTCGCGACCTTGACACCGAATTCGAACGCAAAGCGTTTGCAAAAATACAGTTTCGCTTCTGCTACAGTTAGAAAGAGAACTCTCTTTTGAAACATTTATCTGATCATTATTTTTTAGCTTTTGATTACACATTACATCAAAATGATTACAACTTTTGCAAATAGAACAACTTAACTTACCTTTGAAAGGACAAAATTTACTAATGTGACTCGCTCTTTTCAGACAAGAAAAACAAGCACCTTTTTTCAACAACAATTGTTGTTTTTCAGCTAAAGTCATTTTTTTTTTTTTTTTTTGCAGAGTAACATTTTTCACTAAAATGTTTCTTTTCACAAAAATTACAGTTCGGAACACTCTTACCTGAATTCTCAAGACTTACTAGAGCTGATGCTGTTACGGGATCATTTTGCTTTACCTGTTCGTGGTTAAATCTTTCTTCCGATGGTTCTGTTGGGAAGCGAAACCAGTTCTTGCGAGGAGAACCATCTCTTCCCCCTTAACTTCCTGTTTTAAGAAATTCATTAAATATTTCAAAGATCGATTCCCTTTAGTTTCAATGGAGTCGTGATTTCTGCTTCTTTCCCATGCCATCAGTACTTCTTCTGGTAAGCAACTTTCCACTAAGGGGGTCAAAAAATCCCCATATTTTTCTTGGGTTCTCCCCAAACTTTCCAACGCTCGCAATTTTCCTTCTAGTTCATCATACAGGGAGGGTAGATCCGTTTTTGCTCTTCCGGTTACAGCGTTCTTCATCACTAGGCTTAACAAGTCTCTCACATAGATTTGCACAAGTAAATCTTCGCGTCCAAAGCGCTCTTAGTTGTTCGATGGCTTTAGGATAATTAGCTGCCGTTGCCGGGAAGCTAAGGACTAGGCGTTCTGCTTTCGATTTGGGTTCCATGGCCTGCAATAGATACTGCATTTTATCTTCATCGGCGATACTTTTGTCATCGTGGATTTTCTGGAACTGACTCCAAAAAGTCAGGTAATCTTTAGCTTCACCACTGAATTTTTTAAGCTCAATTTTAGGCAATTTAAATTTCCTAGATTCGGAATTATTTGAAGGAGAAGAGGCTTGTATTTCCGCATCTATTTGAGCACACTGTTCTAGAAACTTATCTCGATAATTCTCCGCTTCTTGAAAATCATCACTAAATAATTTTTCTCCATCTTCAGTCTGCAGAATTTGCTGCGATATAGCACTCTGGCATACGTCAAGTCTCTGGAATTTATCACAAAGTTGACACTTCAAAATCGAAAGTATTTTTAAATCTCTTACTTCTTTAGTTAATTCACTTTCGGTTTTTCTTGAGGTTTGCGTAAACGCAATTCTAAGTCCTTTTCTTTGGGCCTTTAAAGCGATCAAATCCATCTTCAAAGTATATTCAAAATCGAAATTCAATATCAAAAGTTCAATCGGAAAATTCTAATTCAAAGCACCCGGTCCCGCCGAGGGTACCACTATGTTACGAAGAACACAGAAAATATATAAATCAAATATATTTAAAACAGTTCGTTCAGTTGCGGGCCTGCCTCTACCCGAGGCTGGGTGCATTGTGAATAAAGACAAAAAAAAATTCTTAATAAATCATTCTTTATTTCCATCAAAACAGTATCGCTTTTCCGAGATCAGCTTTCGTTCGTACACACTCAAAACATTCGAAAACATTCAGCACGCAGGCTGATGTCACAAAACAGCAGCGCCCTCGCGCCGGTTATTACTTCAGTTCATTTCACAACACAATAATTCCCACTCTTCTAGTAAGATAATTAAGATAATTCTGCAAGTATTAGAGAATAGTTGAAGGTACTGAAAGCAATATTCAAGGAACATCCCAAATATTTTAGATAAAGTTGAGACAGTATGAAAATAGTAGCCACTCAATGCGTTTATTATTTTCATTCCCTATAAGACATTATTTTAAGACTATTTCTCATTTGCATTTAACGCGATTCTAAAAACTCATTCCGGTAAGGAATTGCATGCATTAGCCAGAAGTGGCATGAAAAATAACTATTATAAAATTAAAATTTACCTTTCTAAAGCAAAAATTTACCTTACAATTAAAATTTACCTTACACTTATCAGAAGAATATTCCCTGCAAATCGGGAACAGGTCATCCGTCAACTGACTTACTCATCTGCCATTATTCATAAAGGTTAAAAGTTACAGAGTGTTTAACATAAAAGAAAACAATGGCACATATCATAAAAAGGCCATATAATAACTGCTTTGCTTCAAGCTAGTCGTTAGCACGCTATTATTTAGTCGCTTTTTCTTAACAACAATGAATCTTATCTAATCAAAACATAAAAGGATTATTCTTCAGAATTTTTCTAATAGCTGTTAAACTTATCTATTCAGGCAGACATCATTTTCAACCAATTTGTGCTTATTTGTGGACGGAGAGTAAATCATAATTAGTCACATCATATGATATTCTACAATCAGAGTGAAATTTATCTGATAATATAATACTCAGAAGACATTTCAAAAGTCAGAATTTACAACGCCTGACTAACATCTAAAAAGCAGCTTGTAAATGGTTTCTTAAATACGGAAGTTCTGAATTTCTGGAATATAAAAGCATTACATCAGATTAAAATAGCATGCATCACTCTTATTTTCTATATTACCCACTTTTAATAGATAATTAGGAACGCAGAATAGTTAAAGTAAAGAACTCATTGTTTGCTTAACAATTTAGCACTTTTAATTATTCAAAACATGAGGCAACAAAAACTGTTATTGGAACATAAAATAATGATATAATTTTACGTTGAAAATCAAAAATACAATTCCCCGAAATGTTTTGTTTTACACACTTTACGAACGAACTTCCTTCTACTGCAGAACCACCTACAGAGAACGTCAACCATATTTCATGCTTAATTGAACTTTTAACAAGATGAAACAATATAAAAGCTTTTTTTTTTTTTTTTTTTAATCATCTTCAGTGGTTTTCCGATATATTGCTGAAACCTTAAAGGTAAGTGAAAAGGGTTACGCAACTTTCCTTGTGACGCAAAAATGTAACTTCCACGGTTCACAAGGTCAACCGGCGTTATGTTTAGCCCGTCGTTATATCGAAAGGGCTGCAATGTTATCTGAGAAGTGTGATTAGAAAGGAAGATTTTTTAGCCCGAGTTTGTAGTTCAGTTTAAATGCTGCATTGATGAAAGTAAAATATTTGCTGTCTATTGCAATACAAATTTTAAAATTACTTAGTTGACTCGTGAAGAAGATATTTTTTAAACATGTAAGTTCTTTTTATTTATTTTTATAGAAATAATGGTTTAGTTTTCTTTATTTGATAAAGATAAACATTTAATTTTCGATTTACATTTATCATATGTTTTAAATCAAACTGAGGAAATAAATAATAAGCGCATTTAATTATTATACATATGAACAAGAACATACGTTCAACAATAACAACGTTTAGACTTAGGAATGCACAGTACGCTCATGTTGAAATTAACCGAGCTTTTGGATATTATACGCGTGCTGCCTAAAACTCATATGTAAATAATTCAGTTCCGCGAAACCGCCTATCAGCTAAATAATATTAGGATATTAGAATAGTATTAGATAATAATAAGTCTTATAAATAAAAGTTCAGAAAATTAATTTAATTTAAATCGTATAATTTTTTGTGAACAAATCATTAACTTTATAGAAAATTGTAAAGCTTGGGTGATAAATGAAATTTTCCCAAATGTTCTTAAAACTAATTTTGCAAAGCCAATATACAAAAGCTACAATTTTTTAAGCAAATAAGTGTTATTATGTTTTCAAATGTTTTATATGACTTTTGTGCGACTTTTATATGTATGACGATTTACATACAAATATGCAAATAGAATCGTATGCATTTATTTTTTGTGCATGCTTTATGGTGCTGCATATTTTTATTTATGGTTTTACCTTTTACTTACATAATATATTAATGAAATGGGTAAAAATGTGTTTTCTTCCTTCGTTTTCAAGTTAATTATTTAATAAATATATAGCTATTTTTATACCTATACATGCAAATAATACTTTTTATCGCTCAAACGTTTACTCTGAAATGACAGCAGCCGTGCAATGTAGGTTTCAATGTGCTCTAGACTTCCGCATTATAAGGAAGGTCTATACTACATGAAATTGTAAATAAAGCCATAAAATAAATTTTCAATCTTGTCAATAATATAAACATAAAATTTGAAATCCAAATTTTGTTTTCTATTCAGGTTTGTTAGGAATGCTATTTTATTATCTTATATCTGTTTCTTGTAAGAGAAACACTTTCTTTTCCCTTTATGAAGAGCGCATATAGAAAAACATTTAAATTTCAAACAAGAGAATTAAAAACTATTTGTTCCAAACTATAGAATGAATTTAACCCCAAACAACATAATGGTATAGATGGCAATTCATTTATAATTTTATTTATGTTACACAATAAATAAAATTAACAAATGCCATTTTATAAAAATGAAATACAATAAAATAATAAATAAATAATGGCAATTTAATAAAATAATAAAATACAATACATGGCAATTTATATACATTTAATACTAATTAATAATAAAGCTATCAATAGATTTATCTTTAAAAGTTATTTTTCTTTTTAATATTTACTGATAACAATATGCTGATAATTCCTTATTTTTATCTTATTTTTACTGATCTAGTTGACAAAATAATGAGTACTTCTTGATTTTCCACTTATATTTTATTCACTCATTTGAGCAAACTAAAATAAAATATTTTAAAATTATCTGAGTAAAGTATCTGAATTTCCTGAAATCGGAATATTTTTGTCTGTTAAAATTTAAAATTTGAATTGCCTAGTTAAGTATTAAAATCTGTATCTTCTTACACTCATTCGAAGATTTTGCTCACTCCCATAGTTGATTGCCCTTTCATTCTCATAAGAGAGAAATTCGGAAAAATTCATGAATTTGAAATGGTAAACTAGTTGGATATCATTTTATGTGAATAAACGTTGGAAAAATAACGTTTTGGGGGAAAAAAAAAGGCATTAGAAAATTTCAAGTATTAATTTTTCAAAAATAATCAAAAATTCATCCGGCATATGTGTTGCATTCTCTTGAAATTATATTGTACTACCGTTTACCTTTTATAGTCTTCTACAGTGTTTTTACAGTTATTCTCAATAAACTTTGAGACAATTCTCATGCACATGTTTGGATAGTTTAACTCAGTTCTCGATAAATGTACTTTCATCTTTCATGAAGCATGAAATTTACTCATAATTAACCTCTAATTAATTGTAAACTAAACAAAGAGTTTCAAAGAATTAAGATAAAAAATCTGAAGTGGACACCACATGACTTGCTTGTCCGGCCTATTAAATTATACACATTTTTTCTGCATTTCATTTAAACGTATTTCCTCGAATTTCATTAGAGATATATTCTCATTCAATTCATTCAGTTCTCACTTTGCGACAAAATCAAAATACATAAAAACTCAAAATATTTTCATTATAAAATGGAAATTATAGAAAAACTTAAAACACCAAATACAGGTAAAACAGTTAAACGTTTTTTACAATTAAAAGTACATTTTCTGCGAAAAACAAACGAATCGGCAGCGGGCAAGAAAGCAGATTTTTCTGTGCACACAACTGAAAGCTTACTTTTGGTCCCACTCGACGAAAACTGACTTAATACTGAAATACTTAATACCCGTTCTGCCAAGTTTCAAATGTAAACAAATGCCTGGTCTGTTAGGCTTAGTCACATTTAAACAACTTTTAAATTGCTAACAATTTATTGCATACAGATTAACTAAAGGCATAAAAACGTTACCGAAACATAAGGACAACATAATGCAATCACTTTTAAAGCAAAAAAATGCACAATTTTCAAACATATAAGAAAAAAAAAACTGCGCTCACCGAGCTGAGTAAGAGAGTGGGTATATATATATATATGAATTTACAAAATATTCTCTATTTGTAAAAAGTTAATATAAATTTAAAATTAAAGAAATCTTAATTGTAAAAATAAAAAATAAAAGATTAATTATTGCTTATTTAAATTTCATTTAACTTTGCTATAATTCTTGTGAAACAATATATATATATGTACACACATACACTTATGTACTTTTAATGCCGCCGAAAAGGCAGGTGCACATTTACATGTTATAGCAGCCCCATGTATATGTTTAAACTTTCTGAAGCTACTAGTTTTTGAGTTATGCGAGATACATACATACGTACGTACAGATGTTAATAATAAAAGACAAAAAAAGTTTTGCTGCTGCCTTGCAAAGAAAATTGAACATTGATATGACGAAATGAAAAATAAACTACAAAAAATAGATAAAATACATGCCAACACTTACCACTGCATCTAGAATTCCAAATATATGATAATATATTTGCTTTAAAAAGTTTTGTGAGTTCGCGGTTGAGCTTTATATGGTGTAAAAGCAAAGAAAACAATGCTTAATTAAAAGTTAAAAAGACTTTTACAACGAGCTGCACTCGCAGCAGCAGACTTGTAGACTGCAAGCTCAACGAGAGCATAAGAAAGCTTAATAAAATGTTTTTTAGGCGACCGTTAAAATATGAAACGTTCCAGATTTTTTTATTATTATATAAAATGTTACAAATATAAACAAATATTTCAAAAGAAATCAAGGATTGAAAGTGAGCAAAGATTGGAGTTCAGTTTTAATTGATATGATGGCTGCGCTTGATGCGCTGAACATTTTTTTCTGCTTCTGGTATAGAATTGCTTAAATTAATTCTTAAATTAACTCATTCAAAAATATTGAACCTGTTTCGTGTTTTTCCTAGAAAATTGTTGACTTGACTAACCTCCATCCAGTTGATAGGAAGTAAGGAAAGTCTAGACATTTTCTTTCGTAAAATTTTAAACCTTAGCTAACTTGTGTGTTTTGAGTAAGACTTAAGCTTGAAATCTTCCTTTAATGCAGATCAGATCTTTTAGCCTCATTCATATCAAGATCAGATGTATCGCAATTTTGGTACATGTTTTCCTTCATATGTATTTTGCATGATTTCTTCCTTATTATATGATACACGGGGTGGTTTTCAACCTTTTTTGCCCTTTTCATTGTTAGAAGATCATTCCCCTCCCCTTTCAAAACTCGAAAAATACATTTGTTCAGGTTTAGATTATTTTTTAACGCGTTTTATATATTAAACAGCAAAAAATATAGAAAAATTTTCTCAAATACAAAAATTTGAATAAAAGTAGCTTTTTGCAGTCATAAACTAAAGCTAAATATTTAATAGTTAAATAAAAGGTTGGCCTGATGCCTCCCCTTAAGCTATGAAATTCCTTCCCGATTGAAAACGCCTATGGTGTAGCTTTATATCAATAAATAATTCATAAATACCTTTGCAATGGGATGCTGATTATGCCGATCAGCTGCTGGTGCACATTCGGCAGTGGAATCCCAATAGACCACCTTTATCATCACAGATCCCCTTTAAAATTTCATCTATTTTCCCATGGGATCAATACCGACCCTTTAGGAATCAGCCTGTAGGAGGGCACTGCTCATTTTTCATCTCTTCTGCTTCGAAATAACTCTCTACAATGGCGCCCGAACTAAAACAGGTGGTCTCCTCCGCAGGATTTGGCGATTGGGTCCTCTAAAAACCCCACTCGCCCTTTAAAAAGGGGAGTATATAAGTTATTTCTCCCGCCTTCGTAGCATGCCTTCGTGGTGTAGTGGTCAGCACGTTCCACGCGTATTCGAGAGGTCTATGGTTCGATTCCCAACGACCGAATTGCTGATTTTTCATCTCTTCTGCTTCGAAATAACCTAATGCCTCTACAAGTTTCTTAAAGGCTATCGATTGAAGTTAATGAAGAACATAAAACGAAAATCATTTATAAATTTATTATTAAAATAATTTAAATATTCAAGCTAATTTAGCTCATAAATTTGAGATTGGTACATAGAGTTCATATCGGATTTTTATTTCAAAATAAAAAGTTAAAATGAGGCACTTAAAAGGTAATGAAATTTCAGCAACGGCAGCAGTTTGAAAACCTGAAAATAATACTAATAGAGTAAATTTTCCAAAAGAGATCAGAAGGACTCAAAAGTCCGGAGAAAACACGATCTCAGATCAATGACCTGTTCCTAACACTTATAATTTTCAGTCTTCCAGAATTCTCCTGCACTTCTTGCAGATCTCTAGACCGCTTATTAACTGCAATCATGACCTTTCATATTTATCAAATCAAATAGATCTTCCTCTTTCATAGTACCAGTTCTCGTCTCTTACATAAAAAAATACAGTTATGAAAGTAGGGTTTAATTCAATTTAATGGTAGGACAAAGAATGGTTATAATATTTTTAGCCCAAAGGGGAGGTAGCGGGAGACTGTTAGTGGAAATTCTGAAGATCTGTTTTTAAATACCTTTAGCCCAAGGGGACGGTAGACAAAAAAAGGGCTATTAGTCTCAAAACAGCATTTCGGGGCTATTCATTATAAACTTCAAATCACTTTTTAAATTGTTGACACCGACTATTATCGCCCTGTAATATGTTTAAAGGAATTAAAATAATGAAGAATCTGCATGAATGTATTTATGTTTTTCGCATTGTGAATAAAAAAAAAAAAAAAAAAAAAACGACGGTACCTAGAGCCATCAAAATTTGAATAACGTGATCCTCCATCCGAACATGGGCAACTGGATGCCGAATTTTGAATTTAGAATTTGTTTTATTAACTATTTCATATTTTGTAAGCCGTTAAAAATTTTTGATTAATAAACTCAACGATTTCAAAGCGAGAAAGGGCAACACTGTAAAGAAGGAGTCATTTTTATCTCCTGCTCACGAGACTGTCTGTCGAAAATTCTAAAGATAAGATAGGCTGTTTTAAATATTTTAACCCAAGGAACATTAGCCCAAATACTCTCGAAAGCGTATGTAAATGAAAAAGCGTCTGCTTTATGTATAATATAAAATCTGAAAGCTTTTAAATTTTTTAATAATGTTTATGTTATTTAGCATGGGACTGCACTTGTTATAAAACGTTTTTTCGTATACACTTGCATGTAAAATTACATCCATCATCACTAAAAATTCATACTTGCTCAAGTTTATACAAAATATACATAAGTCCCGTTGTTGCAATAAGTTCTTAAAATGCAAATTAAGTCATCTACAGCTGCAGATGTTTATTAAATTCACCTAATTCTCCAACTACTGCTAAAGCAACTGAATTTTGCTTTTGGCTCCGATCTGTTAAAATGGCTTTCGATAGCAAAAAGTTTTAGGATTGTTTATTAACTGCTTACAACTGCTCATGAGGCGGCCGAATTTAGCTTTTGTTTTCGACTGATAACCCGAATAGCAATTGTAAGGTATTTCTCCCGCCTTCTTAGCATGCCTTCGTAGTGTGGTGGTCTGCACGCTGGCCGCGTATTCCAGTGGTCCGTGATTTTACTCCCGGCGAAGGCGTTGCTCTTTTTTTCTTCTCCTACTCCCAAAAAAATACCTAATGTCTCTAGCATTAGGTATTTTAATGCGGCGGTAGGCATTTTTCGGTATTAGGTATTTTTCGGGCGCCTAAACAGTGGCGCAAGAACTTAAAGAGTGGTGGATGATAATTCTCCACACCCAGGGTTTGGCGATTTGGGTCCCCTAAAACCCCAGTTGCTCTTTAAAATGCTTGATATATAAGGTATTTCTCCCGCCTTCTTAGCATGCCTCCGTAATGTGGTGGTCTGTACGCAGAGCGCGTTTTCCAGAGGTCCGTGGTTCGATTCCTGGTGAAGGTTTTGCTCATTTTTAACTTCTCCTGCTTCCAAAAAAATACCTAATGACTCTACACAATTAATTAACAGAAATGATACCAAATAGAAATTCTTATAGAAATTCTTCAATTTATAGATAGACACAAAATAGATTTACAGTTCAAGGGTTCCGGTGAAACTTGCAGAAACTGAAACATACATTTTTTCATGAGAAGAAGAAGTTCAGCGTCCATACCTACAGCATTCGGAGCTAAATCAAAAGGTCGACGAACTAGTCGGAATGCTAAGTTGACGCTAAGGCTAATAAATTTAGAAATAACTGCTACAGGAGGGATTTCAATCCATCCGTTGATGCGGCAATTGCTGGTTAAGTTCGCGAAGACAAGATACCTGCAATTAACTATTATGCTGCTGTACTTCTATTAAATTAAATTAACCGTTATATTTTCACGTACTCTTACAAGTTAAATATTAACTACATGTGTATATTTGGAGAACATGACTAAAATGGCGTGAGAAGCAAATGATGGTATACATAAAAAATAAAAATTAGTTACAAAAAATTAATTGTGAAACTTGTTCGAAATTTTGGCAATGTGTTTCAATTTTAAGATATCACTCTATTACTCTGGTTTTGTATTCCACCAAAATATACTGATGTCGGATTATAATTTCTATAAACATGTTTTGAATAATATTCTATGATCTCTAAAGCGTTCAGAGAATTATAGTACTAAGGATCCTTTCGTACCTGGCACATGTTTCGATGTTCACAACATCTTGTTTTAATGGCAAATATTTCCTATTTGTTTCGCTCTAAGAAAATGTTCTACAAGTATATTCCTCTCGTCTGGTCTACATGTATCTTCGTTCATTGATTTGCGTCTAAACAGATTTTAAGAAAGAATCTCACTCGACATCGAGAAGTACGGCCCTTGCTCGCTTTCAAATTGTAGAGTTTGTTAATAAAAAATTCGGAAGTTTTACAGTGAGATATAGATAGCATAGCCAAACATTAAATACATTATTTCCGGTTCCAAAAATTATTGGGATTGTATTTCGACTATTCCTATCTTCGTACGACATTAACCAACCGAGATATTAATTAAAAACTCTGAAAACACTCATTTTCGCACTCGTTGTTTTCCGAGTGACAACAGTCTCGAGCGTAGGAGATAAAAAGCTTTATTTCGAAAAGTGTTGCTACTGCTACCTTCAAATCGTAGAGTTTGTTAATAAAAAATCTGATGTGTACACCACATGACTTCCTTGTACGGAATCTTAAATTACACGCATTTTTTCTTGCATTTCATTTAAACTTACTGAATTGAATTAAATCTACTTCGCCGACAGCGCATAAACCACAATAGAATAAATGCATTCTTTAAATTTCAGTCTATTTGTTTACCACAGCGACACTCTGGCGCTAGGTTCACTTAACAGTATTATATTTCGTTCATATTATAACTCATAATGCACAAAATTTACATCATTTAAAGAATTATCTAATCGTTGCCCCACGTTCTATTCAAATACTGTAATAGACCTAGAACGATGTATAAAAGAAATTAAGCAAAAAAAAAAAAAAAAAAAAAAAAAAAAACAGTTTTTTTCACAGACGATTGACTATTTCTCATTCAATTAATTCAATTCTCACTTCGCGACAACACAAAAATACATAAAAACGCAAAATATCTGTATTAAAAATTACGAAGTAAATTTTAAACACTTATTTCCTCGAAAAAATTCCAGAAAGAATTAAGCATGATTTAATTCGCAATAATAAATGAAATTTCTTTGTTTTTGCGAAGCTAAGTTTCTCTAGATTGGCAACAAATCCACTATTCTGCTGTTTCAAATGTAAACAAGCAATGGCCGCCATCAAAAAAATTATCAGGCTTAGCGTCACTTAAACAACTTTGAAATTGTTGATAATTCTAAAAATACTGAAAATAGAATAACATAATTCAATCATTTAAAGCAAAAAATGTACAATTTAGAAACATATAAGAGTAAGAAACTGAGATCACTGAGCCGGGTAGCAGAGTGGATATATATATAAATATATTTATATACGTTTGGTGCGGCCGATTGCAACCAAAATACGAGGTGCACGTCTACATGTTATAGCAGTCCTATATACAAAATTTCAACGTTCTGAGGCTACTCGTTTATGCGAGATACATACGTATATACATACGTTCGTACAGACGACACGAAAAATTCTCCTCAGAATTCATTTTAAAGCAGTTTTATAATTTTTTTGGAGGAAAAGAGTCTTTTATTCTGTTCTCACGTATAGATATCACGCAAAAACATCGTTAAATTGCATTTGATAGCGGTCAAAATGGATGTTTTCGTTGAAATATGCTGCCTGAAACTTTTCGCTATTACAACACTTCCTTTTTACTTCGTACAAGGAAGTAAAAATTTGTAAGTTTTACAAAATTTACGTATATAAAGAGGAATGCCTGTTTGTGTGTTTGTTTGTTTTTTTGTTCGCGTTATTTATTTCTGAACAATTATGATCAATTTTTTGCCACATTTAATCGACTAAAATTGAACATAAGTGAAATATTGGATGGTACTTCAGCTTTTATGACCATTTGATTGGAAAAACAAAAATCATTAAAAACTGTGTGAACTGCTTGCGTGATTTAAAGCTGATATTATTAGAGAGAATTAGTTTATTTTTCTATCGAAATTTTTTATCTGGTTTGAATACACATCAGACTGAAAAATGTGTGACTATGAATCGTATTTTTTGCATTGTTATTAGAGAAGGATTACAGCGGTATCGTTCTCTCTGTTCTCAGATACATTACTCTCAATCTACATTAACTGGCATCGGGTATATTCGCTAGTAAGGAAATAAAAAGTAGTCAATGCATTACATTATTATAATTTTTTAAAGATTTTATTCTTTATTTTTCAGTTTATTGTTTAGTTAGTTTAAAACATTAAAAAATCAAGATCAATAACTAAATAAAAGTCATAATATGGCTTCATAAATCCATTTGACAATTCCAAATCATACATTAACTATAGAAATGAAATTTGAATTTTTAAATTTTTTATATTTTTTTCTCTTATTATTACTATCATTGACAGATACTTTTAAAAATAATTAGCTTCAAATTTTTTCCATAAACATAAAACAAAATTAATTTTTAAGCGAAATAACTGCAAATTAATCTGTTTCATATAATACATATTTATTTTTTATACAATGGGATTTATATTTTGGTACATATTTACATTATTTTTATATGTTGCGTATTACTCTGTGATATAAATTTTCTTTGTAAAATTATTCTATCATTAAGGTACATTGTTATTATAACAGAAAAAAAATCTGACTTAATATGTGTTTCTTTTTTCAGGGTATTTATCACAATGAAAAATTTCAAACTTCTTTTCATCTTGAGCTTCATCAGTACAGCTTTCTCAGACAGAGTGGTTATGACCAATAGTGGACCAGTACAAGGCATAACTGTTTCATCAGAGCCAGAAATAGAGGCCTTTCTAGGCATTCCTTATGCCGAGCCTCCTGTCGGTAGACTGAGATTCATGAAACCAGTTCCGAAACGTTCCTGGTTCGGAGTATATGATGCTTCAAAATTAGCACCAACTTGCATACAGAATGCTTCACAATATTATTACATGCCTAACATAGAGAATATGACAGAAGACTGTTTGTATTTGAATATGTGGGTTCCCTATTCGAAAAAAAGAAATAACCTGAAACCTGTAATTTTTTTCATCCATGGTGGAGCTTTTAATCTTGGTTCTTCTAACATGCGTGTTTATGATGGAACTAGGATGGCAAGCCGTGGAGATGTTATAGTCGTTACCATAAATTATCGGGTTGGTGTAATGGGCTTTTTTTCCGCTTTCACGGAGGAAGTTGAAGGAAATATGGGTGCTTATGATCAAGTTTTAGCATTAAACTGGGTTTACAATAATGCTGAAGCTTTTGGAGGTAATCCTCATCACATTGTTTTGATAGGCGAGAGCGCAGGTGCAATGTCTGTTTCGGGACATCTTGCTGCTAATTTAACGAGGCATCTCTTCAAACGAGTCATCTTGCAGAGTGGAGCAGGCATACAACCAATGAGTTTGGATGAAGATGGACGGCTTTATAAACTTTCGCAAAGATTAGCCACGATGGTGGGTTGCGCCGATAAGAATACTACGCTGAGAACAGATCCCCGACTCATCGTGAGTTGCTTGAGAAGATTACCAGCTAGGACACTATCCGCTGCTGAAGGTATTTTGATGAAGATCCATCCAATAACATTCCTTCCTCGGATAGGCGTTCCTAATATGCCAAAAGCAATTGTCTACAACCTTCTGGAAGGGAATTTTAAAGATACAGAAATGCTGATTGGTATAAATAAAAATGAAGGTACATTCTTTCTCTCTGCAGCCGCTCCTGATTATTTTGGAGTGTATGGAAAAGACAATATCAAGACAGTAAGTAGAAGAATGGCTTATCAAATAACACGATTCATCTACAAGAACACCGAGCAGAAGGATGAAGGGAAAATCGCTGACTTTTATGTGAACAGTGTTAAAAATGGGACTTCGGATGCTTACACACAAGCAATGAGCGATTCGCTTGGAGACTACTTGATAACGTGCGGGTCTGTCTTTAACGCTGAAATACATTCCTTACGTAATCCTGTGTATTTCTACGTATTCAGTCACCGCCCTTCTTCTACACCATTAGCAGAATGGATGGGATGCACTCATTTTGATGAAATGGAATATGTATTCGGGAATCCATTACATGCAAATTTCACCCCAGAAGAGGAGCAACTGACCGAACGAATAATGGATAGATGGTTAGCCTTTGCTAAAACAGGGTAATTATATCATTCATTTATTCCTTTTAGAGCACTTTTATGTTGCAACAAATTATAGTCAAAATGTGCTTAAATATTAAGCCATATGTATTGTGTCTATTTATTATATAATGAGAGCTTTCATTCAAGATGTGTTATTTTCCGTATTTCTTTCTATCAGTCATGTTTATCTGCACTTAAAATCTCTATTGAATGAATAAGAGGAATAAAAATTAATTGTTTTGTGCTGGATTCTTATTTTCAGTACCCTAATGCAATAGTTTTATATATGGCTCGTTGAATTAATATGCAACATAAATACACATCAGATTCCCTTGCAGAGATGTTTAGCAACGGCATCATTCTCAAGGCAGATATCACTGGTTCTTATGTGTCTAATCTTTGACGTATCGATTCTTTTTCGCGATCTATTCTTACATTCATCGATTTCTTTAAACACCCATCATTCACAGTATATATATATATATATATATATATATATATATATACTTACATTTCAAATAGAAACTATAAATATCTACTTTTCTAATAGAAACTTAACAATATTTATTTAACTCCTCTTTTAAGTTTGAGCATGCTCCCCTTTTGATACTAAAAATAGCACTTTTCTAATACAATTCTAACTTCTGTTATATGAAAGGTCATCATTCTGAAAAGTAATCGGTCATTTGATCACTCTTGCCCAATTCAACCCACCATCCGGATATTTATCTGTTTTGCATATAAAATTTAATTCGTTTAATGTAAACGTTTTTGTTGTACGATCTGAAATGTAATCTATTTAATGTAATCATACCTTGGTATTAAAAATCTCTGCGCATTCTTACGCTCTGTGGTCGCCGATCTTTTTTTGTTCGCCTCTGTTTGTTCTCTTCTTTGCTGTAGCCTGCTGCCTCCGATGTAAAACGTTCATTAAGAACAAGGCTTTATAGCGCCGATTAGATGCTTAAGGAAATATGTAAGGGCCGATATGCTTAAGGAAATATGTAAAATATGCAAAATTAAAACGAAATTATAGAAATGAAAAAAATCTGCTAGAAAGAAACCAAAGATTAAATTTCAGAGGCTAATTACTTTTAACAACGATTTTTCGTATGGACGGTCTCTAGTTTAAGATGCTAATGGATTTACCTTAGAAACCATATCATATTTTCAAACAGTATGTTTAATTTCTGCTTCCTTGATGAAATGAAGAATATGTAAGATACTTAATGATCAAATATCATTCTAATCGGTTTATCTAGATTTATGTGGATACAATTTTGTTAAAACCGAAAAACGTTCAATGGCGAAAAGTGTTTCGAATTCAGATGCTGAACATTTTCTGATAACTGAAAAAGTAAATAACCCATAATGTATCGCTTACGAATGCAGATCATGAAATTAGTAACATATTTTAGATTTGCGCGTGTGCCACATATGAATTTCGGGTACCTAGAGGGTTAAATTGAAATACAATTAAGAAGGATCTGATAGTAAAATAATAAATCTTTAACTTAAAACCAGTTTTATTCATAAAAACTTTAAAATGCAAACTCTGGTGAAAAGAAACAAAAAGTTATTTTAAAAGACACAATTTATAGGAGCTTATTATCTAATCTTTTGAAACATGTCACATGTATTAAGGAATTATATTAAATTAAATTATTTTATTTCTTGCCTTTGCCAGAGCAAAGTCACTGATGATATCATAAAATCATAAACTGTGTAGTTTGTCAGTTTCTATGCACACGAGACTGAGGGAACATAATTTATCTTGAGTCATTTTTGTTCTAAATTCATTTATTCATTTTTTATTCTCTACAGCAGAGAAAAAGATCTTTCTCCAAAGCAATTTGCAACCATCGGAGCCAGTATAGCGGAGCAACACAAGGGAATCCCCATGTTTGTAATAAAAGAAATTATATATTTTATACGTTCCATCCCCTAGACCCAATAGCCCTTTGTTTCTTTAAAAAGGCGCGTTAAAATAATTGGATGAAGAGTATGGGACGTTCTGGACGTGCGGCATTGGAAAAAAAAAATATTTAAGTATATATGACAATTGATCACTCGGACAATTTTTTGGGGGTGCCCCTAAGAAAGGGGGGCTAAGTTATAGCTTGCGTAGCTTAAATGTAAATCCTACACTGAATACTGATTACGTTTAAATTAAAACTAAACAGGAAAAATAGTTGAGGAATATATATATAGTTACCGGGTGATCAAAAAATAATTAAAAAATTAAAAATTTAATAACTAGAAAGACATGGACAGTAGCATGATGTGGGTTTCGCAGAAAAACACATAAAGCCGTGGGATTTTTTATAATTAAAAATTTGGTTTTCAGATTAGTTACATTGTTTTCCTAAAGGTGACACTGTGCATTTCATGTGGATTATGAGTATACAAGAACTGAAACCAGCCGAGTTCAAAACACATCATGATTTTGCAAATAGTGTTTTTTATAGGATAAAAAAGGCGCAAATGGTTGTCAAATGTCCTGTGGACTGACAAGGCTTACGTTTCGCTTAATGAAATGTAACTGCACATACTATTATTCAATTATTGTTAGTTATTTTTTAAACTGTGATTTGCAATGTTTGCCTCTTAATATTACTTATCTTAGAAATTTATCTGCAACAAGTACATGTAATAGCTTTTATAATTATATACATTAAAGTATGAATACCTTGTGGTGTTCCACTCTTTTATTTAACAGCTAAATATGCAAGAACCTCGTGAACAGATAAGCAAGAATCGCTTGAGTTCGGGAACAGAGACGTAAAGCTCAAGAAGGGTTAATTACCCTTTATTATTCAAAATAAGAATTTACTGTCGTCACCTTTCTCAGAGCTACAGCAAAGCTTCCACTTGAGCATGAGTTCTCTTTGCACCCTCTTGAAGTAATAAGAAATAAAAATTAAGTAAAACTTAACTAAAAGATATAGCCGAAGCTATCAAGAATTTCTATGTAGTTGGGCCCCTAAATGTCATTTAAGGTGACGAAGCTATCAAGGGCCTAAAATACGGCCGAGCGTAATAACAGCCTAGAGAGAGTGTAGCCAAAGGCGAACGCGCGCTGGTCAGAAACTCTGGGTCTCAGTCAGTGGAACTTCGACTTGAATACCACTCTTACGCATTTGCATTAAACGCGATTCTAAAAACACATTCTGGTAGGAAATTGTAAGCTGAAATTAGTAAGAATAGGAAAATAACTTTAACTAAAGATAACTGTTAAAAACTTAATATAAACCTTACAACCTCATTTGATAACACATAATTAATTATTTCTAAAACAGCTGTAAATCCCTTTGCTTTTATGGATCATAGGAAAAAAATCATGAAATTCTTTTTTAAAAAATGATTTAGTGTTCGTGAGCCATACACTGATTCCAATATTGTGTTACTTGTAAAGCAAAGACAAAATGTGTAACAGGAAAAAATTAATGTAGATGATGAACAGGAGACAAATTAAGAGTTCCATCTATGAGTGACTTCTAAAAATGGCACTGACATAGAAGGAAATCAAAGAGCACATAGAATTCAAAAGGTAGACGCAGAAGGAATGGCCGAAGACGAAAGGTTAAACTGCATAACTATAGGCAAAACAAGGAGGGAACATTTGACGGCAGTGCCAAGCAGGGTAAGACTAAGGACTTCACATGCGCACTTGACATGAAAGAATAAAAGAAGATTAATTATCAAAATTAAACATAATAGAAATAAATTCGGTGAAGTTAATTAGAGCTGCGTAGCCCCGATTCAAATCCCTGGCAGTTTTCCCGGGTGGTGGTGGAAGTGTTATACAACGAAGAAAATCTATAAAAACGGCAAAAAGAATGCTGTTACGAGAAGCCCTTAAAGGATAAGGCAGAAGAATAGTATCAAGAAGAGATCATTAAACTGAAGGTCCATCTCGAAGTACTTAAATACCAATAATGAGGATATAATGAATATATTATCATAATGGATAGTCAATCATTGTACGGGAGTATATTCATGCCAAATTTTAAGTAAAAAAAGCCATTTTTACGCACATTTTTAAGAGCCATTTTTAGTGTATGATACATCGGCTCCACATTGGAAGTTGGTTTGATTATGAAGAAAGAAAAGCATGCATCTTCACAAATCTACAAAGCCAAAATATAATCATTTTATATTATTAGATAAATAAATCAATAAAAATCTCTCTTATATATATACGAATATACGAATTATTATTCTTATTATATATACGAATTATATATATATCAGAAAAGCCTTGTATTGAGATTAATCATTCAGTGAAGAAGGAATGTGATTTGTATACAGTAAGTAGATATACAGATAATCACTTTTACTAGCATTTGAGTCATTTAATGCTTCTAAACTATGATTATTTATGAAACGGACAACAGTGGTTTTTCATAGCATGCCTGTAAACGTAAGTTGCTCTGCAGGATGATTTTCCAAAAATAAAATGCATTACAATGAATATTTATATAAACGAGAACGGAAAAGCAGATCAATTAGACTAAATAACAGATTAATAACATTTTACATTTTAGCAATCCGCTAGTTCCGTTATATCGCTCTCATATGTCTATATCCAATTGTAATAACATACATAACATTAACCTTGTGTTCTCTGATAACTAAGAGTACACATGCTATCTTTTCTTTTTTTCTTTTTTTAACTCTAATCCCAACTCCTCTTGTTCCACAAAATATACCACGAGGTTTTCAGAAGACAGTTATAGCTCTATCAAAATAAATAAACAAATGGTACAATAGCATTGCAAAGGCAGAAAAAGTTTTTAAAAATGATACGGAAAAGAATAAATTAAAAAAATAAAATGAAATAAAATAAAGAGAACTCAATAATCTAAATCGAGATCCGAAAAGCAGAAATTGTCTCTGTAGTCCGTAAAAGTTCAGATTAAATTGGTGGCCACGCCAAGGGCTTCAAATTGGTCTGAAATATCTTCCCGTGCAGGACATGATAAACGCACTCAAGACGAATATGCTTAATATCTTCTTCGTCGGAACCGCAGCTCCCCAAAGCACTTCAAACATGTCCATATCGCTTGAAATAGCTCTTAAAATTGCTATGCCCAGTCAAAAATTGAGTTGATATAAAATCTGTTGAATATTGATCTGTGAAAATCTGTAGGAAAAACTATTTTGGTCCACTATGCATTTGCTGAGGCCATATATTCTCTGTTCATTTCTATTAAAGCTCTTCCAGTGAAAATCAGGAACGCTGAGATATAAATAGCTATGCTAGAGCACCAGCCTTCTCATCCTTTCCAAAATTTCGTCAGTGTTCACGAACGGAAGCAAAATGAATATGGATATCTAAATTGAATTTCAACATTCTCTGAAACAAAATTTGTCCGTAGCGAAGAAAACGAATCACTGCGTATAAAAACGCGAATTGATCTTTTAACTTTTTATTTGAATTATGATTTTCTAATATCTTTCGCATATTAAGAATTTTTTCCTCACTCGCCTTTTCCTGCTTTCTCAAGGGCATTTCCGAAGCATTATCATTTCACTCACGTATTAAAAGACTACTGTACGGAAGACTTACACTTCCCTGTTATTAAAGACATTAATCAGCCTCTGATGGTTATTCTTGTCTTCAGAAAACTGCCCTAAGGTTACTTATTTTTCAAACTTTCAAAGTTGTTCTATTTACTATCATCTGGATAGCAAGACAGATGCAGAAGTGATATAATGTACTAAAAATTTATAAATAAATTTTCAATTTATTTTGCTACATACATACATATATAATTAACTATACGATATGAATTTGATAGACGCCATAATCGGTCCTGAAATTTTCTACAGCTGCTGTTGCAGAAATAATACACATAGAAATGTGTGTCTAGTTAGACACACATTTCTATGTATGCCTTAGCATACATAGAAATGTTAGGCATTATCTATGTATGCCTTAGCATACATAGAATTTATGTATGCCTTAGCATACATAGAATTATACATAGGCATTATCTATGTATGTGTGTCTAACATTTCTATGTATGCCTTAGCATACATAGAAATGTTAGGCAACCTGTTAGGCATTATCAGGTATGATTATTTGGGAGTAATTTCAAAAGCCGCCTTTAATGATATTTTTACCTTTCATCAAAGAAAAGAATTCGAAGAATATTTTAAAATTAATGCAAATTTCATAATTTATTTTGATGTATTAATTATTAATATCAATCTAAACAGACATGCTTGCTATCAACATTATAAGACTATAGGTTGGCAGAGAAAAGCATGACAAGCTTGTGCCCACGTATAGTTAATTACATGTAATAAGGAAACACAATTTTGAAATCCAAATCAAATATTAACTAAAAGATTTAATTAAAAAGTTATTATAGTATTGTTTTAATATCAGTCTAATTACAAATTAACAAACAAAAGTGTCCAATGTTATTCGCAAGTCTTTACTTGTTAGAATCAAAAGCAAATCTTTAGATATGCTTTCAGTTCTAATAAATATTTGCTTTTAACTACGTAAAGTATTACTTACCCACACGAGTATAAAAATCCTGAAGACAGATTATGGAATTTCTGTCTCTGAAAAGGAGGTTACAGAAACCGAAACGTTGAGGTCTAACAGAGCAGCTCGCAAAAACTTAACCACGTCAATCGCTACCGAATTCGGTCTCTATTTCTTTGCCGTTTTGCCAAACTAAATGGACAGAAAATGTGGAAGAGGTTATTAAATTTAAAACTAATAATTCGAAATTTTATCCAGTTATCAAACATAGAGAAAAAGGTTTAAAGTAAACTATTAATTAAACTGAACAAATGCATTTAAATATTCGTTTAGGTTTTCTTACTAGTCGAAATTAATGACTACTTTTGTAAACCTAAACCTTTTTAAGCTTAAATTTTATCCAGTTTTAATTATCAACTATGTTCTTTAAAAGAGCTTAGAAAGTCTAGTTCTCATAAGAAGCATACACTATAGAAAAAAATCTATTGAAGAATTATCTTCTAGCTTGTGAAACAAAACAAAAGTCAGAAGAAGTGTGCATAAAACTCTTTTATTAGAACACAAACTTAGCAATTACACAACTTCGATTTACACAAGCCAAGTAATTCTGGCTTAACAGAAGTACGTAACGATGAACAAATTCAAAATGTGGTAGATTAGCCTAACGACTCACAAGATAATTTAAAGCGCAAGGCAAGGCCTTTTTTTTCCATATTTCGATTCTACATCTCAAATTATGCCAAACTGCCAAGTTTTACAAAAATCTATAGATTAGTTTTTAAAACATTAGCTCTCATGATTTTAGCTCCCCATTGCTAATTGAATTTGATATATATTTATTAATATCTCTTTTTTATTAAACTTACTTGATTCCTTCTTTCAGAATTCGAAATTTTTAGGCTTAATCCAAATATAATTCGCACATATTTTGTAATTTATTTTTTAAAGTTGTATTTTTAAATATTTTTATATATTTTTCGAAAAAAAATTTGTATTATAACCTATAAAATTTTTTAAATCATCTTAAAGTAGATGTATTTCTGTATTTCTAGTCATATCTGCAAAAAATTACAGTTTTTTTATTTAAAACTTTCTAAGATATACATGAATATATATATTGGAGCATTTTGAAATTTGGCATCTTTTTTTTAGCGATAATAACGCCAAACAATAATACGCACTTTGTTAAAATTATTTGAAAGTATGAACGATGACTTTTTTCCGCTCGTCCACAATGAAAAACAGGAAAGGAAAATAGGTTGCCATAAATTAAGAAGTTCGCCAAGTGAATTATTCTTGGCGCAAACTGAAAAAATGCCCCAAGATAAATTTTTGAATTTCTCCGTAAATGTTGCACCAACGAAATATTGAAAACGAAATGGCATGTCATTTCAGAAAAGTCCGATTTTGTGTCAAAATACCAATATATTAGAACAATCTAATATATATCCTAAGTCGCGCTTTCGAGACATGAAAAACACAATTTTGTCAATCGGACCAGTAGGACGAGAAATTTAAAACTTCTCACCCCTTTTTTTTCCCGTAGTGTACATCTGCGGTTGATTTACAATGAAGACACTCTAATACCACCGTTTCAAATATACAGTTTGGTTTATGCTTCAAAAATTGATTCATTAAATCAATTTTATGTGCCCTCAGTTCACATTATGTGAGTTGTAATAAGCTTTTGTGTTGTTTGTTTTTATTCTTTCTAGCTAAAGTTCAAATATGGATATTTTAGCGAAGTATTTTGAAAAGTAGAGTTGAATTTCTTCCTGGTACTCATAATTCATATTTTATTTAGCACAGTATATAATATGACTTAACTTTGGAATCCTGCTTATAGATTATCACAATATTAAACAAAGTGATCAATAAAACACATAAAAATACCAGCTACTACTGCTGGTAGTGACTACACATGTACTCATGGTCTATGATGGCAGGTGTGCGTGTTATGAACTTTTGCTGAAGTATAAATAAATTATTAGTTTTAATCATAAATTAAGTTGAATAGCTACATCATTAACATATATAAATTTGATGAAGTATTAAAAATTGGTTTTTAAGTAGCAAAAAGTAGCACAAGGAAATGACGGAGGAGCAGAAAATTTGCAAAATTGCATTAACATAATTTAGTAGCACAAGTTTATTAAAAGTAACAAAATAGTGAAAAATCGCACAATCTGGCAACACTGGAATTTAGCCATCGTCAGGACATTACTAAAACTAAATAAGGAATGGAAACTACCAGAGTTTAGTAGTTTAATCCTTTGTCACTGACGAACCTAAATGGTGCTATATGACAAGAAATGAACCTTTCTTTTTAAGATAAAATTCATTTTAAGTTAACGGTAAACGCTGTGGATCACAAAATGTCTCAAAATTAGTAGCGAAACGTTCTTAGAAGGGCCACTGAGAGCGAAAGGTAGGTAGATTTAAATAACGGTGGTTAAGATGGTATTGGGAAGTACACTTATGGTAAGCTTAGATAATTTATTTTGTTTTGCACTATTCACATAAGCTGCTTGATATTACTGTCACTGAAAAGTCATTTTGTTTCTTTCAGCAATCCAAATATTCCCGGAACACTAAGATGGCCGGAGTTCACATTTGAACAACCAGAATACTTGGACATCGATGTTGAAGAAAGTGTACGTCTCAGACCAGACAGGTACAGATGCGAGTTTTGGAGAGATCGTTTCAAGTCTGTTATCGATGCAAATGTTATTCAAGCAGTGCGTGGATCACGTTCTACCGCATTCACCTCAGCACATAATAACTTCCTAATAGGATTATCTTCAGCACATGGCAAATTCCCTTCATTTAGTTGTTTAGTAATTTCCATGATGTGGGTTTTAGTCTACGCTAATTATTTTTCAACAATGCTGGGGGAGAAAAGAGGGAAACTAGTCATTTATACTATACTCAGGAGATGAACTCGATGTTCTCCAAATAAGAATCAGATCATCTCTTGTCCTCAGCTATCCACAATTTCTTTCTTTAAAAAGCTATTATTAGAAAAGTGTATATCTGTATACACTGGTATATCTTAAAACTTGAAATTTTGTAATTTCATGTGTTCATTATTCCTTATGTCTTAACTGCAATGTTGTTGAGTTGTAACGTTTCGACGAAATGTATCGAAAAGGACTGAAAATTAGTTTATATCCTCCTTCGAATTTACCTGATACTTACAAAGATTCATTACAGTGTACTGAATTAAAAAAAACAGACTCAGTAAAAATCCAGTAACAGGGTTCTAAAATATAAGATAACTGATATATAACGATGAAGTTTATGTTGGTGGAATTAAGGGTGAAGTTGATGCATAACGGTATCATAACGTTGCGGAATGTGCTTTGGAACAACTTTGTTATCTAAATAATACCAAAAATTCTGAAAAGTGAAGTTTTTGAGTGTGCTTTATTACAGTGTAGCATATGAAACAGGGATATTCTTCGAACCTGCCTTAATCTGGGAACTTCAGGAATATCTTACAGGCCAAGCTCTGATTACCATATAGGCCCATCCTAAATTTTAGGAAGACTCAGAATAATCCAAAATTTCTCATACCTCACAAAAATAAAAAAAATAAAAATTACCATATTACAATATCAATATAAAATAATATTAATAAAGGAATATTACGTCTAAGTCCCATATTACCTTAATCAGATCCGCTTCGGATCAGCAGCATTCTGAATCAGTTTTGCCAAAATGATCCCAAAGAAATGAATCCAGTGAGGTAAGACTCATACTGTAAAGATCCACTTCATTTCTCTTGGAAATGAACTTTTATTACGTTCTGTACAGTTACTGTAGAATTTAAAATATCCTATCCTTCTGAAATGTATGCAAAAATATTCTTGTATTCAATATGGTGTAAGAAACCAAATACTGCAGCATGGCTAGATAGAAGGTACGATGACCAGCATCAAACTTCACAACATTTTGAAACAACATTTTCAATACTCCAACTCCAAATATTAGCACACTTGGATGGTAGCTTAAATAATTAATAACATCACATTTCATTTGTAAAGTATAAATGCACTGTATTTTTTACGTTAAATTTGTAACAGTTGGTTCAAGATAAACCAAACTCAAAACACATGAATTCTAAGGCAGTGTTATTCAAGTAAGTGAAAGATAAGCCTACTCCTGTGATTCCTTCCATACTGCAGGAAATGTTGACCATCATGGTCTAGGCACAAGTTTGGTCCAATGAATCACATTCAGTATGACTTGCTATAGCTCTTCCCATTGGATGGTGGTGATGGCGTTGCTTATATTCTGTTCCAGTGCGTCGAAAATTGACGGATTATTCTGGGTCAGGGTTGGAAAGTGAGTGCACAGCTTCTATGGAGGCGTGGTTATGTTTTCTGTAGCACCTTCCTGCCTCTGAATACACTAATGCTTTTAGGTTTTTCCCCTGCCACACCCTATTCGATTTATGTTTTAGCATCTTGTATTATATTTTTAGTATTAAACTGATATCATATATAATATATGTTGAATTTGTGTTGTATTTTCAATGTTAAATTTGTATTATATTATTAGTAAAACTTTTCTTTTAATGTTAAACTTGCATTGCGCCACTGTTAGTTTTATGTATTTCTTGTTATAATTATGTTGTCATTTTCCTACGTTCTGCTTTTGCTGTCACATTTGAATATGGATTAAACAACTGTACTAAAATTCCGTCTGCAAGACAAAAATTGCATAACATTTCCAGTATTTTAAACCATTTACCTCTTGCAGTTAATAGACATTACGAAATAAATCAAATACTTATAGAGCTCATTTTCGGTGTGATCAGGAATGATACTTAATTATCATCTTCGATTTAGTGGGAAGCCGAATCATTGGAGACAGATTGGTATCCCAGAAACCGTGCCATAATGTCATATATACAAACCACAATTGACATTTATTTCTTCACCACTGTTACGCTTAGCCAATCATAATTTTCAGAAATAGAAGAAATTTTTAAATACTGACCACAGGGCGAAAATCAATAAGGGATAACGACATTTGAGCTCCGAATCTTGTTATCAAATAAAATTACAAATATTATTGAATATATTTACTGTCGAGATTCAATAGAAGTTTGTTTGAATGAAGTCCTAGCTGCAATTTGGTAAACGTAGGCTTATTCTGATACACATAAAGCACAATGTAAGCTTTCTTAAGTTTCTTAATAAATTAAGCAACTTATTCAAAACACCGAACTACAGTGTAAATATTCATTAATTATATGTACATTGATTGTTTGTAAATTGATTCCGATTTTTTTGCGTGTAATAAACTGATACAACTTGATTGACTAGTATATTGTAAGTTGATTGTTTTATTGCATTTGTGTGTTTTTAATAAATTGTTCAATTTTGTTAAATGTGTGTAGTATTACTGAAAAAATCAGCAAATTCTTTTAAAGAATAATTTACTGTTAAAATTTCCATTCCATATGATAGCAAAAAAAAAAAAAAAAAAGCATACTAATTCACGCCAGGTTTTTTTTATAGTTTTCACGCAGACAGACAACGAAGGGTGTAGTTTGGTTTAGTTTACTTAATTGTGGCAAAGCTCTCGAGGAATATCTAGTAGAAACTGGCTCAAATACATGTTACAGATAAGGAAATGTCCATGCGACTAGTCCATTCGGCGGTATTCGGGACAGAACTACCAGAGTTCAGCAACTTTATCTCTCAGCTGCTAGTGGGCCAGCCGTGGTAGGGAAGGAGAGTTGTTTCTCAATATTTTTAAATAATTTGCAACATACTTAAGCTTTGATACTTGCTCATAGTTTGCATTTATGGTTATTGGGAATACCAGAGAAATTTTCGTTTTGCTAACTACATCAAAATTACTGTAGTAAATAACGGGTGATGAATTTTTAAAGAGCGAAAAATCTTTTCCCCGGTTGTCTGAAATGTATTACAAACAAACAGCGGAAACCAAGCTACACTTGTACACTGACTACCAATAAGTATTTGGACACCTGTGATAGAAAAGAAAAACTAACTTTATTAAAAATCAATAGTTGGTAGAGCCTCCACGAGACGTAAGTACAGCGTGGACTCTCCGGGGCATACTTTCCACAAGTCTTTCTATGATAGCTAGAGGTATTTTCTTCTACTCGGCTTGGAGAAGACATAGAAGTTCCTCCACCGATTTTGCACGGGTAGTGCACCCCTGAATTCGGCGATGCAACGAGTCCCAGAGGTTCTCGATAGGGTTCTGGACTCTGGGCAGGCCAGTCCATTCGATGAACTCCATTGGCACCATACCTTGGTTAACGTCGAAACATGACAACATGACATTGTCGTCCTGAAAGTAACAGGGGTCCAACCCGTAAAACTGCCATAACGTAGGAAGCACATTGTCATCCAAAATAGTGCAGTAGGCATCGGTGTTGAGCTTACCATGAAGGGGACCAAGGGTCCCAGCCCATACCAGGAGAAACACACCCAGACCATAATTCCACCTTCGCCGAACTTGACTGTTGGCACAATGCATTCTGGCAGGAGACGTTCTCCAGGTAGACGCCAGACCCAGACCCTGCCATCCGAACGGTAAAGGGTGAACCTTGATTCGTCACTCCAAAGAACCCGTTTCCATTGATCTACGGTCCAGTTTCGATGTGCTTTTCACCACATTAACCTAGCAGCGCGGTTGGACTTTGTGATCAAAGGCTTATGGGCAGCAGCACGACCATGAATACCAAGCAGATGTGCTTCCTTACGGATGGTATTCATTGAATAAATACTCCCGGATGCCTGTTGAAACTCCTCGCGGATGAGGGCCATCGGTTGGGTGCGGTTCTTCCGAATTTCTCTCGACAGCACTCGTCGGTCTCTATCTCCAAGTTTCGCTGGTCTGCCGACTCGGGGCACATTCCGACAATCACCGCTCACCTTCCACTTCTTAATCACATAGGCCACTGTCGATTTTGGGTACTTCAGATCGCTACATATGTCCCTTACGGATCGGCCACATTTGTGATACCCGATAATTATACCTTTCTCGAAATAAGAGAGCTCCGAACTGCGAGGCATCTTGCATGCGACCAAAGCCGATGCAGTTTCCTACACGATACATACCGGCGGAGTCCGTAACGTACCTTAGGACCGCAGATATCTCCACTTGCATAGGTGTCTAAATACTTATTGGTAGTCAGTGTATATCTAGGTTTAATTTTTGTGTTACAAAATAAAACAACCTGTTTTTATAAATAAACAACTACAGAACAAATTAAATTAATACATTGATTTGTACTCAGTTAAAAGATCGACTTTAATAACTTACTAACGGGCAAGCTCGGCTGATGAGCGGACTGCTGCCAAAGCAAAATTTATAAATTCTTTGTACACCTGAAAAGAACATGCTTAATATTTCAATATGAATTAAGAAATCAGTTTGTTCTTTTCAAGCAAGCAACCAATTCGTAAATATCTTTTTTTACTTACTTGTGCGAAGTAAAAAGGAAGTATTGTAATCGCGAAAAGCTTCAGGCAGCATATTTCAACGAAAATATCCACTTTGACCGCTTTCGAATGCAATTTAACGATGTTTTTGCGTGATATCTGTACGTAAGGACAAAATAAAAGACTCTTTTTCCTCCAAAAAAACTATAAAAGCTGCTTAAAAATGAATTCTGAAAAGAATTTTTCGTGGCGTCTGTACGAACGTATATACGTACCTACGTACGTGCGTGCGTACGTACGTACGTATCTCGCATAACTCAAAAACGAGTAGCCTCAGAACGTTGAAATTTTGTATATGGGACTGGTATAACATGTAAATGGTGCACCTAGGTATTTTGGTTTCAATCGGCCGCGCCAAACGTATATAATATATTTATAAATATATCCACTCTGTTACCCGGCTCAGTGATCTCAGTTTCTTTACTCTTATATGTTTGTAAATTGTACA